CACTGCCATGAAACTGTTGTATTAATCTGGGAATATACTTCGATATATTGGGTAGCACGAATTGCCCCTAGTGGAGCAGCTGCTGCCCCCTCAATGCATATCTTGGATGACTGTTTGGATCCTACCTCAGCTCCTCGTCTAGTTCACTTTCCTATCTCAAGGCTTCCCAATATAAAACAAAGGGTATCGATAAAACTGTTAATTGGGGTTCCTCCACCTTTCTCGACAGTGTGTCAGCCGCCTAGTTCTCCAATCCTCGCTGGTACTAAATTTCGAACTCATACCCTAGTATCTTGAATGGCCCATCTTTGATGCTCCTCAGTCACCATCCGCTGCTCCATAAGATACTTTAAACTCCTTTGATCTGTCTTGACCAGAGAATGTTATCCCAACAGGTAAGGTCGCCCCTTCTGAATGGCTAAGACAATCGTCATCAACTCTCGTTCATATACAGACTTTAGTTTCGCTTTGGCCATAAGAACCTGATTAAAGTATCTAATCGGTCGTTGATCCAGTATGAGTACTGCTCCCAATCCATATCATGACGCATCCGTTTCCACCATAATGGTTTACTAAAATCAGGAAGTGCTAAAATTGGGACGCTAGTCATGGCCCTCTACAAATGTTCAAATGCATGTGACGTTGCTTCACCCCAGTTGAAACCGTCTTTGTTCAACTGCTCTGTCAGTGGTCATGTTATCGTGTCATCATATCCTTTCACAAACTTCCGGTAGTATCTGGTGAGACACAAGAATCCTCTCAAGTCCTTCAAATTCCTTGGTAAGAGTCAATCAACCATAGCTTCGATCTTGAACTGATCCACTGCTTACCCCATTCTGGTCACCGCATGTCCTATGTATTACACTTATGCAAAAGAACATTTCTTCAAGTTAACATACAACTGGTGATCCCTCAACTTCTCCAAGACTGTCCTTAGGTGTCCCACATGTGTGTCTTTGTACGAAGGTAGATCATAATATCATAGAAAATCAGGATAAATTTCCTGAGAATAGGTTGAAAAACCATAGTCATGAGGGATTGAAATATCGTTAGGGCGCGACATCACTAAGAACTCATAATGTCCTTCATGTGTCCTGAATACAGTCTCGTGCATATTTGTTGGATTCATCCTAATTTGTGACTTGAGATCATTTTTTGAGAAAATAACTGCCCCAAAAAGCTCATTCAATAATTCATCAATCACATGAATAAGAAACTTATCCAAAATCGTTTCCTTGTTCAAAGCTCGGCAGTCCACACAGAATATTTAACTATTATCTATTTTCTTTACCAACAGGACGAGACTAGAAAAGTTGGCTCACACTAGGCCTAATAATCTTAGCCCGGGCATCTCCCGAATCAGTTTCTCTATCGCATCCTTTTGAATCTGGGAGTACCTGTATGGTCTGACGCTGATGAGAGAAACACCCTTTTTCAATGTGATAGTGTGCTCGTGCTCCCTTGGAGGAGGCAACCCGCTTGGCTGCTAAAAGACATTCGTAAACTGTTGTACGAGCTATTAGACCCTTTCGGAAACTCTGCCCACTCTAAATTTCAAATCTATTCAATGCTCTGCAACACCACTAAGTAGCCCAGTCCTATTCCACGAACCGACTTGACCATGGTTTTGAGTGACACCATAATTTTGCATAAGCTAGCATCTCCTCTCAGCATCACCTTCCTCCCCTTCACTTGGAACTCCATCGTCAAAGTCCGCCTTCATCTCCCCCAATGTTCGCAGTCACATCATCCAGAAAATCACATCTATGTAGCCCAAATCTAAAGGAAGTTAGTCTTCCACCACCTGTAGGCCATGTAGTTTTAGAACCAACCCCATGCAAATTCCCCAACTTTTCTCTACCTTTCTCATCCCTATCATGACACTGAAGCTTCTTGTAGTCACTACTTTCAACCCTAGCTTCTCCACAACCTGATTTGAGATAAATTTGTGTGGTCCCGCTATCCTTCAACACCACAATAGGCTATTCCCCGATCCACCTCCTTACCTTCATGGTGTGATTCGGGGTAAAGCCCACCACCGAATTGAGGGACACCTCCACTACATCCAAATGATGATGCCCTTCCTCCGTTTCTTCCTCTTCTGATTCCTCACTCTCTGTATCCTCCTGAACTAAAAGAACATAAAGGGCGCGCTCCTTCCAACGGTGCCCTGGGGCATATTTCTCGTCACATCAGTAACACAATCCTTTGGCTCTTTTGTCCTGCACTTTTGCATCTGTGAGGCGCTTGAAATTACACCCGGGATGAAGTCATATAATCTTCTACTTCGGCTTCTCTTTCTGATATGACAACATCTGGGCCCTCGGTATCGTGGCTATCATGGTGTAGTGTAGTGGCTGTCAGAGTGCTCTTGCAGAATCCTCCGGTGTTGTCACATTTGTCAAACTTCTTCACCTATTTCTTATCCACCATCATCTAAGCGAACTTCATCATTTCCCTCAATCCAGCGGCCTCAAGGGGCGGATGGTTGCTCTTATGTCGGGCTTTAGGTCTTTCAAGCAGTTCTCTTTCAGTCCTGGTGCAAAAATCCCCCTCAAACTCCCTGACAAAAGCTTGAACTTCTCTCAGAATTTCATAATCGCCCCCTCATGAGTCAAAGCATAGAATTGCTCGTGTAAGTCTCCTCACCGAATGGCTCGGAAACGCTCCAACAAGCGATCCTTAAACTCCTCCCATAAATACATCAGATATCATGCCTTCATCCACTGAAACCACGCTAAAGAATTCCCCTCCAAGAAAAATCTCTCTGCCATGAGCTTCTCTTCCTCAGATCGCTCCACTCGATACACCCATCAATGTACATCCTCCCATTCGAAGATTAGCATCTCCAAATTCCTAACCCTTGCATCTCCACCCCAGCCTCCTCTTCCTCCAGTATTGCCCCTCATGTGTCTAGGATGGAACTTCCTCCTTCGGTCATTGGCAAATCCCACTCTTGAATCCCTCCCTTCATCGTGCTCTTTTGTGCCCCTTACACCATCCCTCCAATTTTCGGCCCATCTCCCTCCATTGGAAGCCTCCACTCCCCTCCTCTCAGAATCCTAAAGGGGCGCTCTTGTATGTAAAGAAGGTCTTCTTTGTTGTCTTCTCTCGCGATCTCCTTCCTTTTTGACCTCGCTAAGGATTCTCTGGTCAACCCATGGTTAGGATTTGCAGCTGAAATGATCGACACAGCCTTGACTTGCATCTCCATGAGCATTTTCATCATCTCTCACATTTCTCCTATGCTCTCAAATCCATCCTCCATCCGACTTTCAATGGAAGAAAAACTGTTCTCCATGGCGAACCTCTCTTCCATTCCCGACCTGATTTGCCCTACCTCTCCTTCAAGCACATCCACATTCTTTTCTACCATCCCCCCAAGATCAATGCTCTGATACCAATTTAATACGCGTCGGCACCAAAATCAGCGAACAAACCACAACGAACAGCAATAGATAGGTGGAAAAAACACAAACAAGGGTTGCTTTTACAAAAATCAAAGAAAAACAAGCAAGAAACAATATTGATCTACTATTTGAGAGGTAGATTGTCTCTCTCATAGCCTAGACGTTGCTAGAAACACCACGAGAAGAAAAAACAACAGCCACAACAAAAAATTCATAAAAGAAAATCAACCCTAGGTTTCTCCCCATAAAGACCCCCCACCCAACCTTTTGAAAACTTTCCATTTCCACTTTCCCTTCAAATCTGTTTTAATTTCTCCTCCTTTAGTAAGTAATCAAGCCTCTCGTAGACCCCAACCTCTCCCTGCCTTCTCCTCTTGCAACAAAGTGCCGCCCCGCTTCTTCATTCCAATAGAATCAGCCCGCCTGTTGGTTTGGCGGGACGGTGGGAGGGCATTCGACTGGTCCCAAATGAACCGGTCCTGTGATGGGCGTAACATCATGCTTAGATTTTCATCAAAAACTTGTTTCTTGAAAGAGTGCGGTATCATGTTTGGCTTATCAAAATAGTCTGAAAGGACTCAAGTACACTGGAAATCGCACATAATCCTATAAGTGATTGTATAGAGCTATGATTTGAGTTTCTTTCCACATATAGTTTATGAATTTTGAATGACATCCTCCCTTTGAATTCATACGGTAAATATCTTATCCTTTATTTTTTTGGAATTACCGAACCAACGTGTTTTATTCAGCCTTACAATGCTCCTTTAGTGTTAGTTTACAATAGAAAATAAATGGCATAATCTAGTAATTGTAAGAGACTCCATTACTATTGCTTGAACTGCATTCTTCATTGTACCCCTTGCTCATCCTCTTTAATATGTTTAATCTCTATTAAATTCATTCATGCTGCTTTTCTTTCTCAGTTAATTCGAGCGCATCAAGCATCATAAAAATTTCAAAATCACTACATTACATTCGATTAAAAAGACATAAAAATAAGGATGGCTATATTTCTATCTGCCCCAGATTCCAAATTTAGTTTGGCCAACAACATCTTAATTATCAGGTCTGCCGAGAAGTTTGATAATGATGATTAACAAAAGTTTCTATATCTATGCTCCTTACAATGGATGCAATGTTCAAACTATGACAATGATATTTATAATTTCTCAAAAATTAATAAAACTGAAGAATTCAACATCGCGATGAGACCTTCACTTGATTACTGTTAGGAATATGAATGTAGAAATGCTTAATGTTTGACAAGTCATTAATGATGACTATGAAGGGAATAAGAATTCTTTTTTTAATATAGAATGAGAGGTTTAAAATATGTTAATGATGTATCATGCCACTTCAAAGATAATAAACATTGTTAATTTTGAAGGTAACAAGCAATTGTGGCCATTCCTATATAAAGTAAAGCTATTTTATTCATACATTATGTATGATCTTCAAAGTGATTTAAATTGGAATTCTTTCTCATTCAATATAGGCAAGCTTACTAGATTGAACACAGAAAGAAAAGGAAAATGAAACATAATATGGCAAAACATAAACATAAGTCCAACATACTAGAACCCTTACCTTAACATTTTTTCAACTTGTTTTGCAACATTATATTCCAGATCTGCTTCTTTTTGTTTGGCACGCCCATATTTGGCCATTTTTTTAGACTCAAGGACCTTTGGCAGAACATAAAGCAGGTAGTCCTCATGCAGTAGAACATACTGCAAGATGCAACACCATAATAGTTATCATACAACTAACAAGAACATTAGCTTTTTTAATAAGCTGGATAAACCTACCTCGTCTCTAAATAATGTGATAATTAAATTTTCTTTCAACACAACCTTCAAAAGAAAAAGAAGAATTAGTGACCATGATCTAATATATAAAACCCGACATAGAGTTCCAATTAAAAATTGCAATATTACAAACCACTAAATTATATTAGAGGGATGGTTGAAATAACATCTAGTAAAACTAAGGTAGTTGAAAAATGACTTTAACTGGTTTTGAATACAAGGAAGCATGAAAAAAATTTATCCAATAGACGGATTGATAAAATTATAACATGAATAAAAGCTATTCAGAAAGATTTGCAAAAAATAGGTTTAGCATCACTTGTAGATTCAATGTGAACAATTGAAAAATGAGGATTGATAAAGTTGGTGATATGAACCATATCATCTACCCTCTATTATAAGTTGTCAAAATGACAACATGGTTACTGCTCTTGGTTGTATTTTCCTGGTAAGGGCTAGTGTGAAAATGGCTGGTCCCTAAATTTATTCTTTAACAAGATCAATTAAGTAAAAGACTATCAAAAAATATAGCCTTTTGATACAGAAATAGAGATTGCTTGACTTCTTGTAAAAGAAGGGAATGAGAAGAGGGGTGGATCACATCCATTGTTTGATTGACAAGTGGAATACTTCCTCAATTAAAGTATGATTCCTAGTACATGACATTAAATTCAAATGCTCAAGAATCACTTTCACAAGTAATTAAATTTGACACTGATGCAGCACTAAAAGATTTATTTAAGAAACTTTTAGTAGTTTAGATTAGTTTTAGATTTATTAAGGAGTGGTCGGACAATGAATCCCTTCCATAATTTTATTAATTTTCACGCTTCCTCCCTTTTGCACAATGGGCAAGATTTATAATTTCAGAACAATGGGCAATGGGTGGGTCCTCCATTTTTTTACATAGAAATGCATGCTCCTAAAAAAGTTGAGTTCGAAGTCTATTAGTAGTTCCACACCATTCGTTAAACCACCTTATGGGCATATGTAATGCGCCTAAATATGAAAAATAATGTTAGTAACCAGGGCATTACTAGTATACATTTTTTTTTTTGTTTTATTAGTTATAAAATCTTCGAATTCAACCTAAAACCATTGATTTTCATCTAAAATAATAAAATTGCGTGAAAATAGAGTTAAGCACTTTTACGATTATTTAATCATCCATCAAAGGGCAAAGTGTGGCAAAACAAGAATGATCCAATGACATGTAGAATGCAGACCCACACCCCGCCCAAAAACCGACACACACAAACAACTAAGCGTGCGTGCATTCATATTTAGTTAGCACTCTTTAAATAAATTTTGATAATATTTTAATCACTAAAGAAAAATAGAGTGGGAACATGTTCTATATAGATCTGAGCACTAAACTCAAAATAATTTCATAAACAAGCAAGTTCCCTGTGCAGAAAAAAAGATAGATCCCCTTATGAATGTGAAGCAAAAAGAAGGAAAAATGCAAAAAAGACAAATATACAAATGAATTAAGGAATACATGCCGAGAATAAGCAATTAGAGAATTAAGATAAATATTTTTTGGCATGAGTGTACTAAAGAGGAAAAAGAAGCAAGGCAATAATATCTAATGAGAAGAGGCTAAAATAAACTAGTATAATTCAAACATGTTAAAATATTTTAGAAACAAAAAGCACAACCTAAACAAATAAACAAGATGAATAGCAATAATAAAAAAAAAACACCCCATGATCAGAAAACAGAGTTCTAACACAATAATAGAAGCAAATGGCAAAGATTAACAAGTCCACACTTAAGGTTAGCTAAGACTGATGATGATTATGAAGTTAACAGTAATAACCAATGAAACATCAACGACAACAGTGGTTCAAATATAACAAGTCCAGAAAGAAGGCTCGTGCAACATTGTTTTGCAACGAAGCTATTAAATAATGTACCATATGTATGCAATATGCAACCCAAAAAAGAGAATTATTAGGACACTAGCATCCTCCGAATTGATGTGAAAACAAGCAGCATTAAGAACATTTGAAACAATGTAAAACATATATCATACAGTTGATGCATGGACATACATTAAAAACACTTTATCGTACCCATAATTCAAGTTAGAAATAATAAATATATAATTGCAGAATCATAAAAAAATTATTTTTCCAGCAACTTTGGTCATAAATAAAAGATAAGTAAGAATTACCATAGAAATATCAATACTTGTAACCCGAAGTAGCTCATCAGGACAAACAAGATAACCCAACAGAACCCATTCACGATAGGCTGTAACATTAGCTAGATCCTGGGCTCTCTGTCCATATTAAAGAGAAAGAACTAAGTCGAGAAATATAATATTAAAAGTTTATTTTACAACACAAGAAACAATCATCAAGCTGAATATACTCCAGGCATAAAAAATTCACAGAGAGGGACATTCAAAAACAATAAACCAACCATAGGATGAGCAGAATTTGTAAGTATATCAGGATAACGAGGATGAAATGGACTTAAAAATCCTTCATTCCGCAACTTTTTAGTATCAGTAGAAAGAAAAATAATTGGACCAACTGCTTCAAGCACCTGCAATTAAGAAGAAAGGAAGTGATTAGAATTCAAATAAAATAAACTATGTTAAAACGGAAACTAAAGAATGTCTGAAATGAAACCACCAGACTTTGCATCTACATTATCTTGTAGCGACTGAAATTTTAGTTAACATGTCGTTGGGTGATATTGCCTATGGCCCCCAAAGTGTAGTTCTAGCATTTGAATCCTTTTGTCAGATTTGAAATCAGTTTGTTTTTAATTTAATCTCTTCCGCACAGTTAGTCAACGAGGAAAATTCACTTTCAGACAGACTGTTCTTATCTGTAAAATTAGCTGAAATATTTTGTAAAAATATAGCCTGCCACAACACTACCAAATAAAGACTTGATTTTCAGCCAAATGACTGCGAACAATAATCCAAATGACAAATTAACTCTGACAAACTAATCATTCGGTTAGATCATGTCTTTTATAAATATAAGCATAACCTATTATCAAACTTTAAAAATTTTTAGTAGATAAAGATTTATGAACAGATCTCAATATCAATAATAATATATGTTGGCTGAGTAACAAAAAATGGGGAAAATAGATATGATATTTGGAACAAAGGGAAGAAGATGCAAAAAAGATAACAAGTTGAAGAAAAAGTAAATTTAAAAGGAGTGGGAAAGAAATAAAGCATGAACACTAGTATGCCCAAAATTCGTGCAAAAAAGGCTTGCATAAACAAAAGTTAGCATTTCATGTGATATTTAATCAGATTGAATGAACAAGGATTGGTAAGATCAACCAAAAAGAGTTGCAACAAAGCTAATGGTAATGATAAATAGTGATGCTTGAGTGGGAATATCCGATATGGTAAATAAATAAATATATATATATATATATATATATATATACAAAAAACAAAATGGTGGTGGAAAATACTCCAATTTTAAAGGCATTATTTTTAAAAATGCAATTACTTTTGTTTGAGCCTGTGACTAATAAGATTAAGCATTGTGATATCTGAGATATTTAAGATTTTCATTCATTTACAAATGAATTTATCTATAATGTTAACTAGACAAAAGAAATTGAAGTGCAGGAAAAATAAATTTAGGTATGAAGTACAAAGAAGACTAGAATAAGCATGAACAAGGTGGATAATTAAAATTCATTGGAACACATTAGTTGGGAAGAAAGGAAAATTAATGATAATATTTTTAGAAGTTAAGCAAAAGAATTGAGAAAAAAGATTTAACACCAAATATAGCAGTCCGCAGGGGTTAAATGAAATCAAGAATCATAAATCTAATCCCAGTGAGATTGACGATGATGTTAAAAAAAAATGCCAGTGCTTGAAGGTTGATTAATTATATTTATGTTGAGTGACTGCTTCTACAAGTTTTCAGAACATTATAACTAAGTAAATCATTAAATTAAAAAGCAAATGCTTGAAGGATTATTAAAAAATGTTTGAAATATGACAATCAAAATTGCATTAAAAGTTCCACACTAAGATCTCACAGTTTTCATAATTCAATCAAAGTGCTAGACGTTTGCATAAAGAACACAAAATAGAACTTATATATTTAGCACCAAAACATCTCATAACCAATGGATAGCTTGGGTGACTGAACATGTTGCATATTTCGAGTGCAGATTCCTTAACAAAGAAATACAACTACTTATAAGTTTGAAGTTAAAAACCTCTCGATGAAATTATCAGAAGCATGAAGTCCTTTTGTATTTACCAGTAGAGATACATTCGTTTGTACACATATATGTACACAAGCTCAAGATATACAAATGGACAAATATATTTTGTTTTGCTGACGACTCGGACTCTCAGGAAACAAAGCTGTAATATATATATACACAGGCTAAAGATAATCAAATGGACATAAATATACTTTGTTTGATGAAGTCTCAGGAAATTTTGGGAGAAGAGGAAACAAAGCTGTAATAACAGGTGCAAAAATTAAGCAAATGACTATAAAAAAGGAACATTTTATTTCAAAAGGCCACTGGGTGCATTAAGATAAATGAAATACTAAAGAGGAGACTAGGTTGGTATATGACTTCTCCAATACGAGGGCTAACAAAATTAAGGTCCTCTTGCAACCCTTTTAGTGGGTGGTCATATGAATCAACAAACTGGACCAATCTGCAAAAGTGGAAATTAGAATATCAGAAAATGAAAATGACAGATATACGATAAAGAAAAACTGATTATAAATGAACCGATCAAACAAAAAATGCAAAATGATTATACATGCGATACTAGAGTTAACCCAAACCACGATAAAAACACAAATATTATTGCTGAAATTTAATAGGGTGGTTAAAACCAACGACTCTTGACAAGAGGGAAATAATAACACAAGCATAAAAAACATCCTAGAGTGAGGAGCAAATCGGTGGGTTGTGGCGGGACAGCAGGAGGGAGGGGCTAGTTGGAAGGTGGCGGTAGCAGGGAGAGAGTCTGGAGGGTGTGGGGCACAAGCAGGGTGGCAGGGAAGGCACAGCAGAAACATCCAAGAGGTTGGGGGTTGTTGACCTCGCTTTCGGTCGAGGTGTAGTTTTCCCCTCCTTAGTAGCCTAGGATCTAGCCGTAGGACCTTTCTGTCGACTACTCCCAGAAAACTAGTGAAGGAGTCCTCCCCGTTAGCAATTCTGAACTTTTATTCGCTCGACTTGACGTTCCATGTGGTAATCTTGACCGCTATTGCTTAGCAGGTAAGGCTACTCCGAAGGAACACAGGGAGCATTCCTATAGGACTGTCGGCCTTAGGATTGACTTTGCTCGTTGATTTGGCGTCGTTGTACTCTTCGTCGTCCTGTTTAATCGAATTCGAGCAGAAATTTTGATAGGATTCGGACCGCGACACATTTTTAACCCGATCGATGATGAGGTTGCCTAGTCGACTCCGGATGACGAAACGGACTGCATCGATGCTTCTGGAACATCGATTTTGCCTAGGGGGGACGTTCGTTTCATTGCGACGACGCGTCTTGGGGAAAATACCTATTTAAGTGTTAATTATAATGATAAATAATATTTTATTATTATTATTATTATTATTATTATTATTATTATTATTATTATTATTATAATTAATAACCTATATTAAAGCCATTAACCTAAATTTCTTTCCCCTCCCCGCCTCATCCCTTCGAACCCGTGGGCCTGCCTTAGCCCTAGGATGGCTCGTTCGGTCGCTCGGCCCACTCTTTCGTGCCATTGAGGAGGCTTCGTTCCCGCGTTCGCCTCTCGCACGCGGGACAGATCACGTGCGCGATCTCTTATCTCTGCTCCTCTCTGCGACGATTGTCGCCATTTTTCCCACTTCCCTCGCCTCTGGTCTGCGGTGGGTAAGTTTAAGCGAGCATCGCTTCTCCCTGATGGATATATTTACCCAATTTGGGGAGACCCAAAAAGGGAATGCCG